CTGACCAGTCAATCTACGGCTGCTTCTTGTTTGTCCCCAGGTCGGGGACCCACCCTTAAAGTCTACAATCTCTTCCTGCTCCCCGTAAGGCCACACTAACCTTCTGTATCCTTTGGGCTGAAAAAAAACCCCAAAACATTCTGTCCAGACTACAGGGAATGAACTCAGAGAAAGCTGCTTGTCGGATTTTCAAGGCAGGTACCTCAAGTTTATTCTACTGACGCCCCAGGGGTTAGCTAGCTGCTGAGTCAGAGGGAAGGCTTCATTTCACCTTGACATTTTTTTTATTCCAAACCTGTCGTAAGGTTGCGTTTGCCAAGCTGCAGTTGTTTTGCCACGTGGGATTCCCGAATCAATCCAGGTAACTTGCGTTCACTGCTGAAACGGTTGCATTTACGGAGCTCTCTAGCACCTTCCCCAAGCCTCACAGATGCTGCTGTTCCTGTGTAGTGTCTGCCATCCTCCTGCTCTTACAGTTAATACTGCAACGTTGGAATAAAGTGATATATTTTCAAAACAGAAGTACTTTACCGAACACCTTACTTTTCTTTCTTGAAAGATTCTACTTTTACTGCAAGTGGAGCAATTTGATTTTCAAGAAAGTTGTCTGCGATCTACTAAAGCACACCTTACCTCTTTCTAATATGCCAGCACAGGTACTGTACAAATAAATATTTGTACAGGGCTCCTCCTCTATAAACCTCAAAACATTTTACAAGGCAAAGGAAGAAAAATTACTGGAATTCCATTGCTGAAGCGAAGGTTGCATTAATGGAGCACAGGTACTGTTTAAAAAAAAAATTTTTAAAAAAATATATTCAAAAGACTGGGGATCTAGTTCCCATTCTATCTAGTTCCCATTCTATCAAAAAGACCTGTATTGTGTTGGCTAAAATCCACTCAATTTCTCCAAATCCTATTAGGGAAATACTGTCATCTTTCCAGTCTTCACAGTACAAGGATAAATCAGTTAACATTTGCAAAGCGTTGGACTACACGGTAAATAGCAAAGAAAAAAAATTAGCCACAGCACAAGTTAGTAAGACATGGGGAGAAACCCTTAGACTTTTTCACCCTTTTAATCCACTGAAAAATGGTGAAAAAGGCCACTGTATCTTAAGCAAAGCAGCCTAGCATCCTTGTCAGAAGATGGTAAGAGAAACAGTCAGCTTCTGTCTTCTGATTTTAAACAATGGAAAACCAATACAGTAAGGAAAAAAATCCCCTAACAAGCAACTATTTGGGCACTGCAGCCCCTAAATATTATTTAGATATATCAAATAAATTATACATTATATTTATATAAAGCACATATGTAATAAATAATGTGTATATACACACGTTATATATACACAAAAATTGCTATTGGAATATTGCACATTTTCATCCCTTGTCTAGAAAACAGGTATTCACATATTCTGATGTCTTGAAAAAACACGTCTTTCAAGTCTGGTGAGACACTCGCGGGGTGAGGAGAAGCTGGTAAAGGCAATCACACTATCTGCTTACAGCCACCTTCCCCTCTTGCCTTTACCGCTCCCCTCTCCCTCCATCAGCTGCCCTGACAGGCTGCTTTTTTCTTTGGTCATTTGTCTTATTTTAAGGTTCCTCTCCTGATTATCGTCATTGATATGAACAATACCAAAGGATGCGGCTGCACTTCACTGATAGCTGCCAATATGAACGTGTGGATATAAACCATACTACCTTTTATTTTCTCCATATTTTAAAGTGTTTTCAATGTACCAAGTTTCTCATTGCAACAGACTATCTAAGCAACAAGAAGCAGCAATCAACACCAAGTGACCTGTCCGCTCTCTCCAGATGACAGATAAGACAGCTGGTTTTACTGAGCAGCACATCTCTTTCAACGTTAATTTGACCTCCAGAAAAAAACACGGGGAAAAAAAAAAATCGTAACCATTAGTGCCTTTTTTTTAATTTAATCTGAAAAGAAACTTCTACTTGCAACTCAGTTCAAATTTAAAGCTCTTGTGCAGCTCACAGAATGGACTTTCCTACCCGTTTTCTACGTTACCAATGCCTTCAGTGTAGGTACTACAGTTACCAACTGAATTAGCATGGCGTGAAACGAGTAGCACATTTCACAGCTCAAGCTCTTTGAGGTTACTTGCAAACTGAAAGAGACACGCCACGTTGATTGCCTGGAGTCACGTCTTACTCTGAAACAACGATCGCTAAATATTGAGCAAAAACAAAAGCATGACAAAACATGACAAGGAAGGTCGCCTCTGTGTTCTCAGGACATGACACAGACTGGGAAAGGCTGTCATCAAGCTAAAAGTGCAGCAGAGATGTAATTACGAGCTCGAATTTTTTTTCCCCCCATTTTACCTATTTAACATGCTAGGTAAAACAGGTTTTTTTACTAGGTAGCAGCAAAAGCACACGTTTACCAAGTTCTACTTTCAGCTAACAAAAGAGCGTTCTTAGCCACTGATTTCAGCTAGCTTATTAATCAAGGAGAATAGCTAATAATAATAATACAAAATAGCAATTTAAATGTTATTACTAGGAATACTGTTAACGGGAAATGAGAGCCTTTCTATACTCTCAGTTCTGAATATTAAGGTAAGCCTTTAAGCGTATATTAAATAACGCAGTACTGAAAATACAAGTGAAATAGCTTAGTGTATATCCACAACAGACCTAGAAAGGACTGCAGAACTGCAGTACTAGGGCTGGTATGTCAAAGACTTCTCCCATTTATACCGCAGCACAGCCTAGAAAAGCCGGTAAAGAACCCACTGGGGCCAGATAATAAGCAGAAAAACAGCTCAGAAAAGCTTCAACGGCAACAGGTACGATATGGTGAAAAGAGTCAGTAAAAAATCCCCTGATAAAATAAAACATCGGGCGATTTACATACAGATCCTGTAATTCACCACATACATTCAAGCCACTTACCATGTAATTAGGGATAAATTATAAACACTGAACCGTGGTGTTTCACTAGCATTTATACAGGTTCTCCTTCTCCAAACAAAAGCACTCTGTGTATAGAAACTTGGCACCCAAGTGCAGTGCATCAGCACACAAGTTTTTTAAACCAACAAAGCATTCAGTTCTGGGAAACTTATTTTCACTGTCCACGCTTCCACTTTTTTTTTTTTTAGCTTGCCAAAAAAGTCATAAGTTAGAATATTCCAAGTTCCCTAAAGTGACAAAAGGCATTTGGCCAGAATCTGTGAAAAGATTCAGAAATCTTGCTTCAGAAACTAACTGCTGAGAATTTCCAGTTCCCTTTATAACTGGTTTAAAATGAATATCCCACTGTTGATGAATACGACTTCGCATTTATTTTGATTACAATTTCTCTCGCCAAAAGGCTTTATGCAAAATTTTATTACCATCTCAAAAACAGAAATCCTTTTACAGGCCCAAGAAGAAACATCCAGCATTGTTCTTGAACTGTACACTTATCAGCAAACCAAGGAAGCGACCCCACAAGACTTCATTCATGTAAGCAGCCATTCAATGAATCTCAAATGATGCAGCTGTATTGCTGGAAAGTTGGGGGGTTTTTTAAATGCAAGTATCTGAAAGCCTCAGTTGTTAAGACTGAGCCTACCGAATCTGAGAATGTAATTATTTTTCCAACTTATCAAGACTCTGCCCTAAATGCAAGGACTGCTGTTAAGTGCCTCTGCATATAAAAAACATTCCCAGTGTAGAATGGATAAATGTGTTAAGAACTGATCTTAAATTCTCTACAATGTCATTACAAAAATCACTAAAGAATGCATACTTTTAATCAAAGTTTCATTAGGCGTATATTGATTCTGTCATTGAAAAATTGCTATATTTAATCAAATTAAGGGCAACTGTTGATGTAATCAATGTATGCTAATGTAAATTCATGTACAATGAAAGAATTGGAGCGCCAGTAACTGCAGACCCTTATAGCACCATTGTGAGCATTTGGATTAAATTCAGTACAAATTTCATTTGATAGTTACTAAGTGTTTTCAGCTAAGTTTTGGGCTGAGACCACAGGCAGAAAATCTAGGACTAGAAAATGTGTACATCGCAGTTTCAAAGTATACAGAAATCCTCTTTCATAAACTGACAGTAAAGTCTGGCCCACAGAAAACGTTTGTTCTGTATATACTCGTGGGTGATGCAGCACTGGTGACTAAAAGGATGCTTAACACAACAGCCTACAAACTACATTTGGAACCATCCAACCAACAGCTTGTGTTTTCACATTTCACTTCTGTCACTGCCCCAACATCAACAACTGTAACGTCAGGGACATCTCCAGTTGTATTTATTCTATATTGAGCTCCACAGACTCCCTCACTTGTATTTTATTCTACCTTTAATCTATTTTAAAATAAATTAATGTATTTTTAATCTGTGGTACTTGGACTTAAGCTCCAAGAGCCTTTACTGTAAATTAAGCAGGCAGCTGCCCCTTATTAGATGCTTTCTAATTTTGGAACATGGGAGGAGGGAAAAAAAAAAATCAATCCTCCCTCCTTTCTCACAAACAAATCAAAATTCATTCCACTCCCTATCACAAGCATGAGGCCAAATCTGGCTGCTTTTATTTCAGATGAATGGGAAGCTGCTCTTACTAAAGAATGCGAATGTAAATTTATTTTGGACTGAGTATGCCAGAACACGTTTCCTCTCCTCTAATTGACCCGATTTTACTTCTTACTCAAGTTTTGCAATAACTTCTGAGAAAACCTCAAAGAGTTGATTGACTTTATAACAATTTGAAAAAAAAAAAAAGTTCAAAATGTCTTCTGTACCCAAGAACTTCCTCAAGTCAAAATGCCTGTGAAAACACAGAATGGGCCTACGTCCTGCATAGGCCAAAGTTTCTCATTCAGAATTTCCACTGGCTACTTTCATACTAAGCAAATTACAGAAAGGATAAACGAAAAAGCTAACAATGTGGAAAAGTTGCGAATGAATAAATTACCTCAAGAGAACAATGCCATAGACATTAAAATTATTCCAGAACCTACCTGTGCATATTCTTTCTCTATTGCAGCTCTTTTCTGACTGAACGCTCTGAAAGAGAAGAAAAAAAAAATCCATTAATATATACAGCAAAACATTACAAATTCAGTAATTTACTTAAAGGATTTTCTGCTAGACAGTCTTTATAGTTAAATAAGCAACAAAAAAGCAAAATTGTTTGACAACTGTATATCAGTAGCCTAGCAACTAGCACATGTGGACTTCACATATGTGGTGTTCAAAATTCCAAGTTTTATTGGATAAACTCAGTTCCCAGGACTACCGGTGTAAATACCCTTTACTTCATTAAAGGCTCATCAGCTTTCCACTGGTATAGCCTAGGGAAGAATTTGGTAGCACAGAACAGAATTTGGCTTTATGCATCTAGACAGACTGACTTATTTTTTCTTTTTTTTTTTTTTTTAAAGTAAAAAAAGGAAAGTCATGTTTCCTCAACAGCAACTGACCACACCGGATTCATAGTTGTAGTCACAAGACTAACAGCCTCTCTTTAAACCCACGCTGTCCCACAGCAGTATCCTGATTTACCCATTAACGTAGCTACAGCACATTAGACCCACTTAACTCAAATGGTGCCGACGATAGCATGTCATTCCACATTAACGTCAGTGCCGTACTCTCATGTAGGGGCTCAAGGTGTACCATCTCAACGTATTTTAAAATAGAGGGTTTCAACACTATCACCGTTGTAACAGGAAGCAGGTTCAAATACCTAGATGTGTCAAAGGCTCTTGCTTCAATAGCTTCAGCTATTCCCTCTTTATCCCTTGAACAGCCAAAGCAGAGTAATTTTCTTCAAGCTACGCTATAAACTACTAAGCTTAAGGCTACGCCATCAGCAAAAGAAAATCTAATTCTATTTAAATTAGTTACACAATAATTATGGTGACACGTTAATAAAAAAATCCTCAGGAACATCCTATAATAAGGTTAACTCAATAAACACAAACAAAAGGACCTCTGAACAGGCTCTTTCTACTCCTGTCTACTCCATTTCACCCATGAAGAGCATCCACACACTGATAGAGCATTACAGGCTCCATCTCCCCAACGGGATGTAAAACAAAAGTCTAAACGCATCGTGTTTGCTTAAAATTCTTTCCAGATTAATGACAGCCCCAAAGAGCTGGCCATATTCCAACTCCAATAATTACGTCCCATCTTCCTAAATCCCCCGGTGTAGCTCAGGTGGGTACAAAGGGCTGCACAGCTGTGCCATACGACACTGCTCTATATGAGCAGGTAAAGTTGTCCGAGACACTTGTAAATGAATCTACTTTGTAAAGCATTCAAGGTATTTCATCCAATATTACAAAACAATTTCTTGTAGGCCCTCCTGTTCCAAAGTCCAATATCCCAGTCAGTTTAGCAAACATCTAAAAACCACAATAGCCTTCTGTAAGAACTTACTTTTCTTTTAGTATAAGTAAAAAGTATAAATAACTGCAGAAATAACTACTAGGCATAACTGAAATGTGTTATCAATACTGAAAAGGTAAAAGAAAACAAGCAGCTGTCTTTGAAACGTAAATCTGGGAAGACTTTAGGCAAAGGCAGTTATTTTCCAATTCTCAGCTAATCTTGTTTGAAAATATATAATCAGAGGTAAATGTTAAGGGTACTCAGTTTACACAAATCCTGAATATGGAGCTGCATATTTCACCATGAGGTTTTTTTTCCCCCCGATAAAAAACAAATTCCACTTAAACTAATTGCGTAACAATAATTGTGACAAGCTGGAAGCCGAAGATATCCCCTCAAAACCTTCTACATTAAAAGGTTTACACTAGAGAAGAAAAACAAAAGCATTCAACTGGCCCTAGCGCAGAATTACAAAATACCACGCAAGTCAAATTTACTCGCAAAACCGACAAAACTCTTGGACTTGGAATTACGGCAAGCTCCAGCATGAAGAAAATGTATTGTACAGTAGCAGCTCCATAAATTAGAAACATTTTAGAGTAGGTTTAGATTTTGTTCTGTATTTTAAATGGGCTTTTACAAACAAGTTGGCGAGACAGCACGTAGTTCAATTTATACAATACTTAAATTTGTGTTTGATCTCTGTTTTGGTGAATGAAGAAAATGGTAAGTACTGCAAGACGGGCAGGATCAGCCGTCTGCATTCCTTGAAGCTGGTGTTCTCTGCTGCTTTGTGATCGCATTTCCCTCGATTAGTCAAACACAAAGCTGTTTTTAACCTCGGGACAGTTTACACAGGAATCCTTTTATGACAACCGTAAATATATTACAAAACACGATGAAGTAGGAGACTGTAGACAAATTTCCCAGGAGAAAATTATTTTGAGCAGGAAAAAAAAAAAAGTCTGACTAATAAATGCAAGTTTCTTAACTTGGGAAACCTGAAAACTTTCATGTGTGTATCTTGATTTTATGTGCAAAGCTGGGATATTCTTGACCTTATTGTCATTCGAGAAGGAATTTCAAGTTATTCATATAAGGAAACGTTTGGTTCCGTAAGCTAATAAAATGTTCTCTAACTGTTACTGAAGAGTTTTTAAGAAATGAATTAGTGGGTCTGCAAGAAAGCAGGAACATTATTTATGGTTTCTTTAAACTACGAATTACTATTAATATCTGCCATTACATCTTTTTCGCAAATTAACCATTGATTAAGTGCAAGAAACACCAGAATTGCACGCCCAAAAAAGCGTCATACCGTTTGTTTCTGGACAGTAATTCGCAAATATCATCTCTATCCCGCAAACGTTAATTCATGCGATATGCTTATTCCCTTTGCCCCTACTAAAAATCATTCAAAAGCATTTAAAGTCTTTGACAGTTTAAAAAGAGGGTGAGAAAGAATAAATACAAAGAAATTCAACAATATTTGGTGTATATAATCAAGCTAAGACCATTTTTCATTTAAGTATGATACTTGCCACAATCCTCACATTGCAGGAAAATCCTGACTTAAGTCTCCAAAAAAAGAAAACCAATTAAAAAAAAAAAAATTTATGCTCATCAGCAGGACAAGAAGCCGCCATTTAAAAAAACCTATTTTATTACACGTCCCGAGTGTGACCAGGCGCCTGTCTTTAAAAGAGCCTGCTGCTAGGGAAGACTGCTGCAAGCCCGAAGGAAAAGTCACACTCAGGAAAGTCATTTCAATGGTTTCAACATACATGATTTAACGTCGAGAGGCAATGCCAACCACCCACAGCATTTCCTCACACGCTGCTGCCTACAGCCCCTTCTGTGGTTCACAGCTCCATATGACTAGAATGAACCTAATCCTGGAGGGATTACGAAGGAATGTTCTTTCCGAAGCACAAACAGCTCGAGAGGCTCTGCAGAGAAGGGTTGTCTTCCTTTGAAATGTCAGCAATTGGCCAAGCCTCGTCAAAACCAGAGCAGTGGGGTTAGAGAACAGTCACTCCTAAATGATTAATTGTCATTAGGACAATAAGGACTATCTGGCGTTGGAAAGGACTTCTCTTTCAGACGAAAAACTAGTAAGAATATCTGAAGAGGAGGAAGGTGGAGATTTTTCTGCTGCGTAGCAGGACTTCGCCCACCTACACCATTCTCCTTACATTCCTCACCAGGCTTCTGACCTGGAATAACACGCCCCAAGGTGCGCCACGAGGCTAAGCTGGTCGCTTTGTTTCCTGAGGAAGGAAATTCTTTGGTCCTAATTCATAAGACTTCACGTGACGAAAAATATTTGGATGAAACGTAATGATCTGTCATATTAAAGAAATTAGATTACGTGATCTAACTTTCCCTTGGGCTCTGTGAAACAGTGGAACTGTAAGGGAGCAGGGGAAAGAAAACTACACTCACTGTCAGCCCGCCTTTGCCAATACCACGTTTACTAGTGCCGAACCCTCACTGTCACTGCAAATTCCCAAACACGAATTCCAGCAACTGCGAGGTATTTAAATTACTCGTATCAATTGAAGATAACAGATGCTATCAAGTTTCCAGGTATGTTTTTAACTTTTCATTGTAAATAAGCAGAACAATGTGAACTAAGGAGTCAGGTCAGTGGAGAACGATACTTCGGGAAGTTCTCCTACAGAGCTGTCAGTTACCAGGAGAAACAGGCGGGCTCAACCTGGTACGTGGGTGTCCACTTGGGCTGGAAATGACTAAAGCTCCCACTTTCATGAAAAATCAGTCTATTAACATTAAAATCTATGTTAGTGTTATATAAAACAATGTTACATTTGCCAAGATTATCCAGTCATACAAATCTAAGGATGAAAGTCACAGCTTGCACAGTAAAAACAGTTAAACACAGTGACACCCTGAAAATCAGAAAGCGAATTACTCTCTATATTAAAAAGCTAATTTAACTACATCTAGAGAGCAATGCAAAAATCTAAACGGACGCTTCATGTACTTGAATAAAAGAAGGGACTAAATTTGCAGAGGTGAATGTATTTCCATTTAAAGGCTGTGAAATTCAGCAATGAGCCAAGCAGGGGCCTGAATCACACTTGGAATGAGTCCCCGTGCAAGATCACGATACGTAATGGTCAAAACCCATATGTATTAACTGACAAATTGGTACAACTCACCTAGCATTAGTAGTCTGTGTTAATGCAATTTTTTGGCTATGGACATTCAGATAAATTGTTTAAGAAATTTAATGGAAAAAAAAAATCCTTACAATTTATACAACTATGCAAAGCACCAGAAAACATACAAATTAGTACCACATCTGGAACATCCAAATGCGTTAGACTAAAGAAATGCACCTGACCTTGACCTAAGAGAGTCCCCAACTGCTACCCTAACAAAAGCAAGGAGCAGCAAATGAGAAAATAAAGTGCTCAGCTCTGCGGAGACTGGATTTCCCGGATCAGCAGAACACGGAGCAACAGAATTGACACTTTCAGTGCCAGTTAACTGAAAGATGATGAAAGGAAGGGGGAAAAAAAAATTACACATGCACACACCACATGGTAATGGTAACTCTCCAAAACCTTTTTTTAATCCTTTTAATACAGGCTACTGTATCCCTAACAGAATCAAAACAATAAAGTCAGTATCGTTTCCTC